GCTTGTTTTGTCTCAAACAGATTGCATGAGAGAAGAGCCCAAAGTTGGCTGATTCATACAAAAGAAAAGGATCAACAATATTTATACAAGATAATTTAGAGGCGGCATCATTAAAGCTATGACTGTCGATGGACTACATGGGTTATAGGCTGAAGCACAGCTGAAAACAGTATGAATGTTTCCAACAGCTACTAGCCAAATGAAATAATAGAAAATTAGGGTTGGAAGGGACCTGAGGAGATCATCTAGTCCAACCCCCTGCTCAAAGCAGGAACAGCCCCAACTACATCATCCCAGCCAAGACTCTGGCTAGCTGGATCTTAAAAACCTCCAAGGATGGAGATTTCACAATCTCTCTAGGTAACCTGTTGCAGTACTTTACTACTCTCCTACTGAGAAAATTTTTCCTAAGCTAAACTTTCCTTGCTGCACACCTTGAGCCCGTTGCTCCTTGTTCTGTCCCCTGCCACCACTGAGAACGGTCCAGCTCCATCCTCTTTCGAACCTCCCTCCAGGTAGCTGAAGGCTGCTATAAAATCCCCCTCGGTCTTCTCTTCTCCAGACTAAATGCTTACTGAAGAGGAAATTTTAGGAGCAGAGAAAAAATGATAAAAAGGAGCCCAAATAGGTTGGTCTTAGAGGCTTGTATAATCCTCTTTAAAAACGACTGTGGTTGACATTAAGTGTATTGAATGCAGCATGTAAATGGTATTATTCCAGGTGTCCTTCAGGCAGAATTGATTCATAACATTTTAAAACCTTACGCAACCTATGTCTCTGTCAATTTTGGTATTAAGACTGGGAATAAATTAGGAAAGACAACAGTCCTGAGATAATACATTCACATCCAGCAGTTTCATAAAGACTCCGGTGACAGATGTTTCCTTCTGTGTACTGTAAATGTTTTGGTCTTGATTTTCAAGTACCTTATGAATTTGGTACTTGAAATTGCCCAAGTAACAGCCCACTGACTGTTTTAGATGACTGAATTTTATACCTGCATGCAGCAGGAGAGGTTGATATTGGGTTCAAGCTAATGTAGTGTATTCGATTGAGATATTATACAAGTAACCCACAAGTACGGTAAAAGGGCTTACTTAAGGCAGGTGCTTCAGCAAGCTGCTCAAACACATGTACAGTCCCCCTGCTGAATCGAGGCCTAATGCACGTATCTCTAGATCTTTAGGTAGGCTGTGTCCAGTGCAGTTTGCATTGCCTGTTTTAAATCTCTGGAAGAATAAGTTGCTCAAGACTTCTGCCTTGCTAGGGGACATGGGTGGTGGCAGCAGCATCAAATGTTAAGCCAATGGCTTGCCCAGTACAGATGATACCCTTTATTGACTTGACTCTGCTACTGCAGTGCTTTAGCTGAAACGACACTACCACAAAAGCAAACAAAAAACCTAGATTTTAAGGAAAAAGTTTATTGGCTCAGGGATTCTAGGGGCACTCTGTGTCCTTCCAGACCAGTTTCATTTATATCCCCCCGCAGATTTCACTTGCACTTGTGGTAGACTTTGGCAAAGAAATGTTACTGAATTTCAGGGGTCATGAGGTTGACGCTAAGCATTAATTTTGTCTCTAGTATATCATCCATACACCTTTCATCTAAAGAAGACTATAACAGCAATAAAAAACCTGGGGGTGGCTGTGTCTAAAGTACAGATGTACAGAAAAGCAAGTAGTCTAGGTTCCAGGGTCAAGGTTTTCAAAGAGTGACTGGTGATTTAGATGCTTCCGGGTGCAGGTGCCCAGCTCAAGTCACTTCAAAGGAACTTGATTTTCAGAAAGCATGGAGCACCCAGAGACTGAGTTCCTCGTAGTGGCAATTAGTCCCTCTGAAATAATCGTGTATAAGTATACTGGCAACTAAGTATATTGGCAACTAAGATGGTAAACTAGTCAGACGAGACCAATTCAAATAGCCTCCATCACAAGGAACCACCAGCTAGCAATGAAACAATACCCCACTGTCCTCTCTCTCAGCTCAACACACCCTGGGTTCCCAAAAAGACTCCTTGCAGCCTGCCCTGAGGACTGATGATTTGGGGCTAGTTCCAAACTCTTCGTGAGAATGTCCTGCTGACAGCTGTATCACTTTTATATGGGTGATCTCTTGCTTGAAGAGGAGGGTAGAACTCCCCCAAGACCACAGCAAACACTTTGCTAGAACTGTACACATGATCACATCACATCACAACTGTATCCAGCCAGTCAGTAGCCAAAGCTCAGCGTGCATTTATTTTATAGTCAAGTGCACTCAGCAGGTCTGTCTTTTTAGCTGTTTTGGAATGATCTTTTAGAAATGGCTTACAGCAATGTATTAACAATGATCCCCAGTCCTGACACTCAAATAGAGTGTGAGGGCTCACTAATGAGGCAAAAAGGCAGTGCCCATCTCACAGAATTAGGGAAGATGGACACATGCAGTGGCCAGAACAGGCAGGTCTCAATCGCAACAGCAGCAGTTTCCATTAACTGCAAAGCACCCCATCATACTGCAGAAATCAACCATCATGCACAAAGCCACCTAAGGACAAGGCATGCTCTACTTAAATTAGTCCTATTCCTTTTCTTGTCATCTCTGGTGGGTCAGGCAAATTGCTGCAGCTCTCATGGAATCCTCCCTGGAAGCGCGTGAACAGGGCGAAGAGCGGGGAATTGCTACACACAAACGACACTGCCGTATGGCACGATGTTTATAGGATAAGAGACAAAACACAAGGATGGAGACATGCGACAGGATTTCCATCTCATTTCAGGAGCACAGATGCTCTCCTGCTGCTGCAACTTTGAATCCCAATGTGAGCAGATCTACAACATTTCAAAACATTAAAAGACAGCCTGACACAGGTACCTGCTGGTTGCTAAGGTCCAGATTTTTTTTAGGAAATATAGGTCCCTAGCTCCAAATGAAATCAATGATCAATGTCTCTTCAAAACTGGGCTTAAGTGATTCCTCCTTCATCATCTTAATGGATCCTGCACTCCTGTGTACTGCCAGGCTCACTGTGCTGGGAATGCCTGGTATTGTGGAGGCAGCCTCTCCCTCATTACAGGTAATGGTTTTTTTGATCCAAGATGTTTGTCCAAGCCCCGATTGCTCTTTGCCAAGAAAGCCAGCACCTGTTCATTACCTGATGGACAGCTTCCATTTTTCAGCAGACACCAGGAGCACTTAGAAAGCCACAGTTAAGTCTGCTGGAGAGGAAGTGCCGCCACATTCATCTCTCACAGTTGAATCGGTTTCTATGGAAATTGCTATTATTGAATAGTAATAATTAGCCAGTAAGATATCAGGTTATCCAAGCCATTAAAATATGTGGCATCATAAGAGAAAGCAGGGTCATTGTTTGTATTTTCCTTTGAATTTTCTAGCTTTGTAACCAAAAAAAAAAAAAAAAAAAATCCTAGAGCCTCACTTAAGACCATTTATTTTTAATGCACTTTCCAAGCAGCTGCTCTTATCTGGAAGAGCTGTGCTGCATGCAATCAAAACAGGTGCAGCATACCACCGCTAATGAGGTGCCTTGCAAGGACTTGAGGCCTAATCATTTTTACCAGGTTTTCTCCAGCACTTGTGAGGAAGGAACCCTGCCACCACCATCACCACAGTCAGCCAAGACCGGTGAGTCACAAAATAAATGAAGGTGGGTTCCTCAGTGGTGTAGGATTTGCAGCTTGACTGGTGTTCAGCCTATGGATGGATACAGTTTATAAGCCCTAATGACTGCTCCACAGGCACGTACTTTTTCACCAGTATAAACAGGTACTTAGACTACACAGCCCAGCTAGTTAGACTTGGCTTGTAGCTTTTCAGAACAAAGGGCAAGGTAGGAGTAGAGAGCGTTGTGAACATGGAAGACCTCTAGGGACAGAAGCTATTGAGCAATTCTCTTCTGTCATTACTAAACCACGGCAGGTCGCTAAAGGAGAAAGTCAGTCTCCTCAAGCTTCAGGTGCTGCCAAATCAGCCTGCCTTACTGACACCTATGAAGTGAGAAGGGACTGCCCACAGAGAAAGCAAGACAGACTGCCTACAAACTGTAGCCAGCTGCTCCTTTAAGTTGCTTATTCCAGGTTAATTCTTACCTCTTACCACCTACACTTCCTTCACACTGGGCCACAGGGGAAGGAACCTGCTGCTCTTAGCTACTGCTCATAAAGCACAGGAACACACAGTAATCCCCAGGCAGCATTGTTTCCTTAAAGCAGAAAGGGTTATCATCCATTCGAGGCTTTTATTGGACTTTAAAAACCATATTAAAACCTGCCTTGAGCAGGACCCTGGCACAGCGTGGCTTCATTGCTGAGGCAGGGTTCATTGTTCAACACGGACAGCTTTATTCCCCAAAGCCAAAAATAGAGGTTCAAGCTCATAGGCAGACAATAAAACTGGATTACCCAGAAAGTGCATTTCCTGGAAAAAGCATCTCGCCATGCGTTGTTGAAGCTTACTCCAGCCTGGTTCACATGGAGCAGAAGTGAGGGCTGAATTATTAGCAGCAGTGTTCTTGCCTACGTGTTGCACAGTATTATGCTGCCATTCTGGCTAAGCCAACACTATTAAACATCTTATGAAAAAGGTTCTGGTTGCTCATGTAAAGGTGCTGCTTGCAGTTTATTTAGGAATAAACATCTGGAGGGATGTTGCTTGCTACTAAAGTATTTTTGAACAAATCTTGGGTAATGTACCATTAAAAAAAAATCATCAAAAAAGCAGAACGACAGGCACAGTATAACTCCTTCCCTCCCCCCCTCCCTCCCCACCTGCCACTGCCACTTGCACAGAAGCCCCCATACTGGTTCTAGGCTTAAAATCAAGCCAGATCACAGCAGGTCTGCAACTTTAAGATAGAAAATGATGCCACCTGATGATTCAGACTCAAAAGCTTTAAAAAAAAAAATCCATAGCTATAAGCAGCAGGTTTGCTAACCTAGACTGGTTCTTTAAAGCAGCAAATTAGCCTTGATATTGGCGCATAAACAGACCAAGAATATTTGAGCAATCCTAACATTTTATAAAAGATGGATACAACCGTCCAGTACAACAGGCAGCAGCTCTAAGTAAATTATTTATCAGAGAAGATCCCAATAAGAAAGTCATAATAAGCAGTACTGAGGTAAAGAATCAGTTTGCAAAGTCAAAGGCAACACTTCAGTTCATAACCACGCATTTCTTTCAACGATTTGCTTATTACCAAATTAGAAAGGCTATACTTCCAAATACTGATTGTTTGTTCTGCAGTTCATTCTGTGGCCCAAGGTCCACTAAAGCACAGGAGTTCTGCACATCAGCCAGGCCAGCTGGCCTCCATTTTCATCAGGGTTTTTGTTGCGTCACCATCCTAACCATTTTCAGTGCCATTTCCCCTTGATCAGCTGGTACCTAGCATAGAAAGACAATGCATATTAACTGCTTTGCAGAGGCAGGACTCTAGATAGTTTGTAATCATGCTACTATTTAGCTTGCTTTTTTGAGGACAGCCTTTCAGCTTCTTATCCAATATGAAGGCTTGTAAATAGGTAAAGGTGGGGTAGCACAGTCACAGAGACATTAAAGTGACTTGCTAAGGGTCCAACCAGGTCTGTGGCAAAGCCAGGAAGACTAGGCAGGAAAAGCAGAAAAAATATGCATACAACTGCTCTCATCATTTCCATCTATTTTTTTTAAATGAGCATGTTACTTGCCATGTGTCCAGCCCTTAGAATCCAGTAGAAAGCCAAGTTCTCATAGGACTTGTAGAAAGCAGCCGTCTCAGTGGATTCTGGACATACATACAGAGCCTTCCACTTCTGCTGGCTGAACTGCTCCAGCTTAGGCCATTTCAGCTTCCGGACCCACGCCTCTTGTCCTGAGACAGGGACAGAACGGAGTTATGCATATTATTTTAATCGAGGCAGCACTGGAGATGTCCCCCTGTACTCAACACTAGCATGCACAAAGCAAAGATATTAGGAAATCTAATGTAAGATATCACATCTTCCCAAAGAACCTTGTCTGCCTATGATCTGGAGAGACAAATCCAGTTTGAGAACTGAAACTAAGCATCACAGAGATGCTTAATGGGATCTTCTAGACTGAGCACTGAGTCCCATGGAGAGAGTGGTTTTCTTTAATCTTTACTAATCTAGAGGAGCCCCTGGGAACCCCATAAGATTGGGCCCCTAATATAGTCCATGGCCCATTGTGACCTATTTATAAGAGGACTGGAAAAAGGCCAATGTGGTCCCCATTTTCAAACAAGGGAGGAAGGAGGACCCAGGAAACTATAGGCCTGTTAGTCTTACCTCAGTCCTGGGGAAGCTCTTTGAGAAAATTATCCAGGAGCACATCTGCGAGGGGCCAGCAGGGGAGATTATGCTCGGGGGCAAACAACATAGGTTCATTAGAGGCAGGTCCTGTCAGACCAACCTGGTGGCCTTCTACGACCACATCACAAAATCCTTGGATGCAGGTGTTGCAGTGGACGTAGTCTTTCTGGACTTTAGGAAGGCCTTTGATACTGTCTCTCACCCCATTCTCATTAAAAAATTAGGCAACTGTTGTGTCGATGCCTACAAAGTCAGATGGGTCACAAATTGGCTGGAGGGCCGCACCCAGAGAGTGGTGGTGGACGGGTCATTTTCGACCTAGAGGGATGTGGGCAGTGGGGTCCCGCAGGGCTCGGTCCTCAGACTCACACTGTTCAACATCTTCATCAGCGACTTGGACGAGGGGGTGAAAAAGCACCTTGTACAAATTCGTGGATGACACTAAGATGTGGGGAGAAGTGGGCACGATAGAAGGGAGGGACAGGCTACAACTAGATCTGGACAGGTCACAGGGTTGGGCGGATGAGAATAAGATGGGATTCAATACTGACAAGTGCAAGGTGCTGCACCTGGGGAGGAAGAACCAGCAGCAGACCTACAGGCTGGAGAACTCCCTTCTTGTCAGTGCAGAGGCAGAAAAGGATCTTGGAGTCATTATTGATTCCAAGATGAACATGGGCCGACAGTGTGAGGATGTGGTCAGTAAGGCCAACCGTACCTTGTCATGCATCCACAGATGCATCACAAGCAGGTCCAAGGAGGTGATCCTCCCCCTCTATGCAACACTGGTCAGGCTGCAGTTGGAGTACTGAGTCCAGTTCTGGGCGCCGCACTTCAGGAGGGATGTGGACAGCATGGAGAGGGTTCAGAGGAGGGCCACTTGCATGATCAGGGGGCAGCAGGGCAGACCCTATGAGGAGAGGCTGAGGGACCTGAACCTGTTCAGCCTCCACAAGAGAAGGCTGAGAGGGGATGGGGTGGCCGTCTATAAACTTACCGGGGGACGAGCAGAGAATGGGAGAGTCCCTGTTCCCCCGAGCACTACCAGGAGTAATTAGGAATAATGGCCACAAGTTGACCGAGAGTAGACATCAGGAGGCGCTACTTCACCGTCAGGGCGGCTAGGATTGGAACCAACTTCCAAGGGAAGTGGTGCTTGCTCCTACCCTGGGGGTGTTCAAAAGGAGGCTAGATAATCACCGAGCTTGGGCCATATGATCCCAGCATTCATTCCTGCCATGGCAGGGGGTCAGACTTGATCTGCTCAGGTCCCTTCCCACTACCAACTATGAAACTATGAAACTTCTAAAAAGGTTACATGAATATGTCTCAAATAGTATACAATTAGAAGTTATAATCCCTATTCCATGATGATATCTTTGAACTTTAATTTATCTTAAAATTAAAACTATCTTTATACAAGTTTATTTTCTTCAAAAAAAGCGTCTCAACCAAAAAAAAAAAAAAATCAAAACATGACTAAATAAAGAAAAATCTGATTTCAATTAAAAAAAACATTTTAATTTTTTTTAAAAATTGATTTTTTTTCCACCCTGCATTCAGGTCTATGCGTAAATGAAGCATGGATGTGAACCTTGGGACATTCTGCAGTACAAGCAATTCCAGCGTATCCGTGTTTCCCCTGGTATTCCTGAATCCCCACTTCCTACACCCTGCAGGATGCTACCGCAATAATATTGACATCTCCTTCAGAAACCAGAGGCAAAACATGCATCACATGACATTATTTCATGATTTCTTATAGTCATCTAACTGAGACCATCTGAGAAGGCAAAGTCTGCATAAAAGGCTGGAGAGGATTATAGTTTGAGACAGCAAAGAGAAACCAATTCTAGGACATTAAAAAGAAAAAAGCAGCTTCCACCCCACCTAATCTCTGTCTTCTGATTTCTAGAGCAATTTATACTTTAAAAAGAGCAGCTCAATTTTAGCTCAAAATATAGCAAATTGGTGTGCCATACACTGCTAATCAGTTTTGACAGCCTAAATACCTAAAGATTTTGACAGCCTAGAGACTTATTGATTGCAGGGCTGTTCACTGAAGGAACTAAGAAGAGAACTGGAGCATCTGAGCAGTTAGGGGCCGAGAGATCTAAAGGATAAAATCATCCATAATATAAGATGATGGTTTGCCCAGCCTACTGCAGGGGACTATTTGAACGAAGGAGGAAAGAAAAGAGAATGAGGCCTGGCAGACTGGCAGCAGCCTATAATATTCCAGCAACACCCAGGGTGGAGAGCAAAAAACCACTTCATTGCACAACTGGCCAAACAATGCAACACGAGCAAACTTTCTGAGCCACTGAGATGCACGCAAGCTGACACCTGCTGTTAAGAGGCAGGTGCCCTCGTCTTTCAACACCATCCCCTTCATCTTAAATATCAGGCTCATCAAGTTACTGATTTCAACTGGCAGGACCGAACACCATCAGATTAGATTTTGTTCAGTGAACAGTGAGATGTTGTCCCTGCCCCACAGAGATTGCTATCAAAACTCATTAGCAGAAGCAGAGCAGAAAGGAATTAAGTCACATGCACGAATTTCAAAGCTCTGTTTGTGACTTGAACATATAAATGTGTATCACCTTCCCCTGATTGCACCCCAGCCTGCACTTTGTGGAGCTTCCTATTGCTCACGATGAGAAACAGATCTGTGGTTGCTGATGTGTCGCAAGCAAGGAGCAAACTCTGAGCAGTGTCACTCATGAGGAGTGCAGCCCAACTGGAGGATGGTATAGGAGACAAACCCATCAGGATACCTTCCTGGCCTGGCTTGGGAGCTTGCTCAGTCCACAGCAGGAGGGCCAACAGCCTCTGCAGGCTACTGGTTTATAGGCTTTCCAATGGCACTGATCTCTAATATCTGAGCACCTCACAATACTAATTACTTTATTCTTGCTCTGCTGCAGTGCTCAGAGTAGCCTGGAGTTGCCACTGTAAAGACACAGCAAACAAGACAGTCCTTGCTTACCCTGAGACACAGGGAAGATTGGTGACCCCTGGTTTTCACATGAAGGTGTAAGGGGAGGGCATGAAAAGCTGAAGTCAAAAGGTGAAGTGATTTGACCAGTCATGCTCTTTTGCTATGGGAGGGAAGGAAAAAAATGGCACCTCAAATACCATGATTTAGCAAAAGTTGTGTCAGAATAATACTCCCAGTATGGTGGGATTTAACCTTAAAAACTGAGAACTACTTAGGGATAATTAACTTTGCAAAGGTCTCTGTGGACTGGACAACTTCAAGAGAAAGTTACTTAGGAGAAAGTCATAGCCACCTCAACTCACTTAGGCCAACAGACCCCTGCAGCACTCCTTTGTTCAAGAGACAGCAAGGGGAATATGCCTAGGGGTGGGGCAGGGATGGAAGAGAGACAGCAGCAGCTCCCACAGGTCTGTGCAGATACTCTTGAGTAGAGGGATGCAGACACATTGGTGACGCACCTTTGCGGCTAAGAGCAGAAAGTACCATGGCCATCAGGATGCTCCACCAAAAGGGAGAGCAGAAAGGCACTGGCCTCAGAGGACTGCCTTTCCCTTGGTGTACCACAGACAGGGATCTGTAGCTTTATGAAGCCTAATACCCGATTTCTTCTGGGGCAGAGCCCATCTGAACCCCAGCCAAAAAAAGGTTCTTACCCATCGTGTCGACAATAAGATCCAGCTGCCCATTGTAGATGGTAACGTTGACGTTGGCCACCAGCAGCTGGTCCACGATGTCAATAACAGGCTTCATGAAATCCCCAGCCATGTTTGTGAACACTGTTTCTGACTGCCCTAATCATTTGGACCCAGACAGGGAAAACATGTTGTAATCAACAGAGTTTGAAGGCTGAGGCAGAGCAGAGACTGGCCGGGTCCCAACAAGACCCCGGGACCAGGAGCAGAACAACACACTAGTGTTTGCAACAGTACCGTGTCTCCTGATTGTTAGTTTCCAGCTCCCATTACAAGCCTAGCGGGTGCTGGCAGGCATTCAGCTTCTTCCCTCCCCTGTTCTCTCGTGGTGGATTTACACTCTCCGCCCCCACGCCCTCCTTGCACTGGGTTTCCGTGGAAGAGACTTGATGGGGGCTGTTTGGGCACCCAAGGAATGTCTCCACTACCCTGTTACCACCCCAGGAAGCACCTTAGGGAGATGTGACATGTTCACAGCAGACACTAGGTGGAAACAACATAGCTGTGTTGGCAAATATAACCCAAGAGGGCCAGGTGGGCTCCTGCTGCTCAGGTCTGAGGCAGACTATCTAGCTTGCTCCTGCGGCTATATGGCTGAGGGCAAGTGAAACTCGGGGTCACCCAAACCCCAAGCCTCTGGGCTTGGGCCTGCATGTAGGATGCCTGCCAAATGATTTGGAAACATCTGAAGCCCCAGGTGGGGGTGGAAGATGTTTGCTGGTAGTAAGGCCACATGTGGTTCTTGAATGACTCACAGATTTGGAACTGATTTGGCTTGGAACATGATTTTTTTAAAATTGAAAATAAGACTATCCCCCCACCAGGCTGTGCACCTGGCTAGTTCACAGTGGGCTGAAGAAGACATGGGGACTGGACCTGACAGCATGTTTGCTCCCACAGGCTTCCCAGTGCCCTGTTGTGAAACCTCATCCAGCAATCTGTCCTGGGGAGTCTTAGTCAGGGCCAGCTGCTTTTTGCAGACTATGATACTGCCCATTACAAGCTGCCCACGAGGTCTATGCCAGACAGCAGATGATACCTCCCCACTTGACAGAGTCCGGAATGATTTTTAGCTTCTTTCGGATGGGCCCGTTCATCAGGTCACTTAACTGGTCCTTGTGAAGGTGCTCAACATGGCGTTGGTAGAGCCTCACTGCAGAGAAAGAACAAGCTTTAGTCTGGCACAGACAATGCTCAATTCTGAAATGGCAGATGGGCAGACACGGGATGCAATGAATACCATAGGACAGTGCTGCAATCATCTCCTGAGGCTCACTACATTTGGATCTGATGAGCTCTTTTCTACTGAAACTGCAGCATCACAGAGGAAGCCTTGCTGACTTGGAAGAGATCAGCATTCTGACCCTGCTGTGAGCCGATTCATTTTATGGAAGAAAGAAACAGACTATTTACTTCCACTTTCTGCCAAGGCAGACTGCTGCTCACAGAAGGTTTCCTGGGGCTCTGCTTTCACTATTACGCATAGACACAATTGCTTCTTCTCACCAGACCTGTTAGTTTGCAGCTGCAACAACTGGTTATACTTTTGGAAATCAACAGTGCTGTTCACTTCCCTTATGAGCCTCTGAAAGCCAATAGAGAGGCAGGAAGAGGTGAAAAGAAATGCGTGTTAATTTTCACGTCAATATTAACAGGACCTGAAGGAGGACTGTGGAAGTCAAGTGTCTCACTTGATAATAACTGGGAGGGAGACTATTTTCATTCTGCTGCTAAGAGAGAGAAGTGTAAGTGTTTGGAAGAAGCTGTTTAGAGGTTGTGAAATTTCACAGCACTAATATTTATTGCTCATCATGACTAATCCCAAGATCTGTTTAAACGGAAGCACAATCCATGAAATGGCTGTCCTAACATCTACGCTCCTGCCCTGTCTACATATGGAGCCCAGCAGGTCCAGGTTCTTGAGCAAGTGTGTCAGGCATCTGCTTCAAAGCCTCATTTTCAGAATGTGATCGACAGACACTTCCTGCTCACTCTGGTCACAGGCGTGGGTTCCCTGTACCTCTGAAACTCAGGTCCTTGGAAGCTTAACTGTGTAAACTTGCTCGCCTCAACTTACTAAGATAGATGGCTTCATGTTCTGGTTCCTTGAGAGTGGGAGCCTGCTTGGTCAGGATGTTATAGAAGTTCACGCCATCTGTGTTCTGGAAAAGCAAGAGAACAGCTTGTTTTGTGAAAGGAGGATCAGGATGGATCTTCAATTCCAGTAGTTTAAGAAAGAAAAAAAAATGCTTCTGATACAGGAGGCTCCAGCTCTCCTCCCAGATCAGGAATTAATGCGCTCTATTTAAAAGAGATCCCTGTTGGCTCCATCTTGAGTAAGACCTTTTGTGAAACGATGTCCGGCCCCTTGTTCCCTTAATTTCCCGAGTTCTGGAAGGGGCTTTAGGCAGTTGCCAACATTCACATCCAACTTGGGGTACTTATGCACATAGGTATGTGCTAGTATGTACTTGCAAATCCTGCTACAGATATTTTTTCTTGACCGAAAGGGCTGTGAATCTACAAGGACAGCATTACTCCACCTATATCAGCTACAGCCAAAGACTTCAATAACACAGACCTCTGAGATTTATTCTTCTGCTAGGCCATCCCCAAAGCATGAGACTGCTCACTCAGTTTCCTCTTATCACAGCAGCTTTACACATTGGTAAAGCCCTGGCTGTGCCTTCAGCTGTACAATGCAGATGAATTACAGTGGCTGTATTAGCTTAAAAAGAACAGTAAAAGGTTCCACAAGAGTGTGAGAGTAAGGAAGTGAAACTAGCTACAAAAAAAGCACAAAAAGAAGCAGTTTTTGGCCAGATGTTTTAGGTTCAGTGACAATGTGCTACTTGCAGATGGACATGACTAACTTAAACAGCATTTGAGTCTTATAGCTGAAATTAATGGGGCTCTTTGCATGCATGAAGTTAAGGACTCATTTCAGAGCTTTACCCAATCAGAACTTTAATGCAGCCCTATCTGACATGCATTTGGGCCTCATTCTCTATTGTATCCTGTAGCCATTCAGGCCAGTGCAAAGCAAGTGCAAAAATGCTTCCAGGTTGGCATGGCAGAAACTTTATGAGAGATAGCCTCCTACCTGTTCAATTATCTCTTCAGTCTTACTCCAGAGTTGAGTGGCTAGTGCATAATCCTTTTTATTCACTGCATCCATGACTTCTTTGGCAGCAGCAGTGACTTCTGTGAGGCCCTTATCATCAAGAAGAGACTGGAATGCAAACAGGAAGAACCACTGACTTTAAATTTATGCTATGGACAATTACATTGCCAGGTTAATTTTTTTACATGGTTTTTATGCTGGTTGAATGTTCATGTAGATGTCAGAGTTCACTCTTGGATTTAAATTGTATGGGCATAAGTTCTTGTGCAAAGCCTAAAACCTAGAACAGGTATTGCAAACAGAAGAGCTTGGGTAGGTACTTACAGTGCTGTAAAGGTAAGGTCCCCAGGAGAGTACCGAATCTAGAGGAAGAAAATGGATTTCAGTCGTCTCTAATTAAATTTCCTGCTAATGTAACAGGAATAATAATGACAGGAGCAGATGGAGGCAAAGATGAAGTACTCAGGAAAGAGGCACTGTCAGATAAAATTTAGCTCAAAGTTTAGGTGCTGCAGAAAAGGCTGAGTACAAAGCCAGAAGACCAATACCACCACCGCCACGATGCTAGCTAATGGAAGCTTTCTAAAGCAACAAACAGACATTGTAATCCCAAACTTTGCAGCACTGTGCTAAGGTATGAGAATTTATAGACAAAATTGGACTAGTTAGCATTCACAGTCAAGGCATATCTACTTGCAAACATTACAAGAGGAAAGAAAAAAAGTCAGATTTTTGACGATCAATACTATAAGTCATCCCTGGCTGGGATGCAATGTTTAGTGTGACCCGATAGGTCCCATGCTTCCAGCTTCCCACAGCCAAGGTGAGACAATGTCATGGGCCTGATGTACAAATCTCACTGCGGGATTGGAAGTGGAAGTCCTTTGACTTGGTCTTTCCTCTCTACCTCTTCCTCCCAAAGGGCAAAGTCACCCCAGCTGTTCAGCTATCACCTGGTGGATTCTCGTTTTAATGATAAATGGGAAACAATCATTTTAAAAAAAAGACAGGCATTGCTGAGATTTAGAAACACGGATTCTCCTGACACACATCTCCCCATCTGGAGAGGCTGGATAGCTGGCATTTCCCCCCCTGCCATTTTGTTTTTAAATACACTTAGTTGCCAGACTCTTCAACAATGAACAGAGCTCTAGTGCCCCGCTGCTGAGCACCAGCTGCAGTGGGAGAGGGGGCCTTCAGCCTGCAGAGAAAGTCAGAACTGAGAAGTCTCACACTGGGCATCTTAAGACAGAGAAGCTGCAAGTCAGTGGTTCTCAGATCAGCAAGAATACCAGATCACAGCAGGCAGAGGCCAGGTCTCCTCCACTGCACCTTCATTTAGGAATCAGCTGTGGCCTTGTGAATCATTGTGACTTCACTTTAGCTGAAGCACTCTTGTATCAAAGAGATTTGGGGGCACCCTCTGCCATCTGCTTATGTGAACACATGCGTGTTCGTTACTACTACAGAAATGTGAAATTATGACACTTACTAAAAGACAGTCAGTTTGCATCACAGCTCCCTGGAATATCAACACAGCTTTACTAAAATCTGTTTTTCTGCAGTCATTTCAAGCAGGGACAGACCATATATACCCATAGATATACAGGAGGTCATCCAACTCTATGAACCTACCTAAGGGAGATATCCAGGAATCCCCCAGGGCAGCGCCAATGAAATTGCACTTTATGCTTCCAGCATGAATTGCCTTTAGAAACACATGAAGGAAAGAGGAATTAGTACATACACAGGTGAGTTAAGGAAAGGTGCTAAGCACCAGATCCTAAGTAGTAGAGAGAGATTTCCAAATGCAAAAATAAGCAGAAGTGCCTTGGTGTTACAAGAAACATCCTCTCCTCCCCCCCATTTTAACTAACTTAGAGGGACAACATCAGAAATGAAGGATGACGAAAGCTTATCTGCACCCCAGATGACTGACAGTACATCCCAGCTCCTAGGAGAGCACACACTGCTTCCGGTTTGGCTACACTGGATATGGAGGAAGGAAAGGGAAGGAAATGCTTATATAGTAATTTGTGTTTCTGCATACACTAATATATATAAGTGCCAGTTCAGGACACTCAGTATGCTTTACAAAGCTCGCTAAATCTTTGGATTAGTTGGAATCTGTGAGAATAATCTGATCATTTCAACAATCTCCACAGGCTTTCCTAGTGTGGTTCGAATGCACTGTCCCTTGGGAAGGGCAAGATACCTGTTTGTCAAATTATCCAATTCAGGAAAGAGATTTGGGGTCACAAAATTTGCAGGACAGAGTCCAAGGGTGGTGATGAAATGCTCAACTCCCATTGACTTCCAATGGGAACTAAACACCCAGTAGCTCTTCATGCCTCTGAACTCCCCCGCCATCTCTCCACAAAACTACCTGGATTCTGCATGTGCCTTGACTGCCAGGGTACCAAGTTACTTTACAGTTAATTATGTCTTAGATGGACTAAGAGCTTTCTCTCTGACAGTAAATGAAGGGGGGAAAAGGCTTCTTACAACGGCAAATCAAAGTTGCTGCTCAAAAAAAGCCAGCTCAAATCCAGCATTAGACTTTTTGTGAAACAGTGACAGTTTGGTAGACATGTGGGCAAAGTGGCATCTTAGAGGCAAGGGTATACTTTACCTTATGCAGCTCTAAGGCAATGCCAGCTGTCATTTTGCCTCCATATGATTCTGAGAAGATGTAGAATGGAAGAGTCTGGAAGGGGAAGCCACACAGCAAGGATGTTAGGAACCAAGCACAACACATGTCCTACCCACTCTCTGCCACCCACAAAACCCAAACCTCAGGTGTTCGTCTCCCAAAGCACTGAATATCTAGTCATGGAATATGACTTTTGGAGGAGGTGGTTTTCACTTTTGTAACCAAGAAGGCTCTGATCTGATAACCCTATTGGATAAGGCAGGATATAAATCAAATAAACAATCAATCAAGAAATAATCTATGTCCAGAGTCCATATAGACACAGGAATCTGCCCTCCTGGATATACAGCTGGAGCCAAAGACAGCAACAGAAATAAATACAGCTGCAATGGCTGACACAGACAACTAATTTCACCTTTACATTTGTGGAGGGGAAGAAGGGGTCATTAATTATGCCTGCAACTCCTCCCATCACACTGTGGCAAATGCTCTCTCTTTGAAACCTGGATTGACAATGCACTCTCTTCTAATGCTATTAAACCAAAGTCAGAAGTCCCTTACCTGGAATTCTGCCTTACTCTTGAAGAATTCTTTAAGCAGCACCAGCATATCGGAAGCGACAGTGGCGAGATCTTTTGCAAATGCACTGCTGTCATTTGCATAGCTGAATCCAGAGCCAACAGGGTTATCGACAAACAGTATGCTGGCTGCCTGCAACTACAGCACCAGAGAAAGAGGACTGTAATGCAGTCTCAGTTCAGTTGTCCCCTCCCAGCAGAGCCCCAAGGGTGCTCTTAGAAATTTGCAGATGTCCAGACACAGCTTATATGTCTGTTGCATAGAGTAAAGCCATGGACTGAAATAATATCTTTCCATGTTTCCCTTAATTTTAGGCCCAAATGTTTGCAACACATAATTCATCCAACTACATTTTCTCCACCAAAACCAATGAATATGCCTATGCTGAAGCTCTCAGTTGGGTTTTCCCAAGCAGCTGTTTTTCAAGCTGCAGCATTTTAGGGGTGCAGCATTTAAAGCCAAACAAGTAAGTACTGCAAACACCTGGGGAACGATAATTCAAGCAGGTTTGTGGACTCGAGCACAACTAAAAGAAAGATTCTGCTCCTAGGGATGGCTGAATTTAAGATGAACGTATTTCTTGGGGTGTTTTCGTCTTGGTCAGTTATTTGTTCAGAAAAGTCATATCTATGAGTCAATAAATAAAAAGCTCACATTATCCCAATCATAAGCTTTCCATCATACCCAGGTTGTGTTTCTTGGTTTCAGTTTGGTATTTAAGGGACCAATTTCTTCAAAGTTCCCAAATCCACAGCCTGAAGCTCCTGGACCTCCCTATGGGGTGAAAAGAACAAGGAAGTTAAAATCTGGGGAAATCAGGGTAAACTAATGGAATAAGGTCACTCAACAGGAATAGTTTCTGCACTGCATGCTAAAATACAGAGTCCCCTCTCCACCCATCTCCCTTAATTATATACACGTGCTATTTGTGCAGGGAATTCAGAAAGGGAATCAGTCACCAATTAAGGAAAACACAGAGGAACCTTCTACTTTGCAGAGAGAGCTCTGAAGCTTTTGTTTCCATCCAGAGAGGAAGTCGCTTCTGTGCAGGATGGTGTGGAAGAGTCAGCTACCAAACTGGTGCATGGAGAATAGTTAGTTCTCAACATGCTCAGCACTCCCCACTCGTATAAAAAGTTCTCTCAGCCTCTAATCCTTTGTATCCACTGTCTCCAAACCTTACTTTCAATATAAGCTTCTCAGGGCAAGAGCCATCATTTCATTTTGCAGTGTCTCGCACAGAAGGCAGTATCACACTACAAAACTTCCTCTGTTGCTGCAATACAATTTCGGTGAGCAGCTGAGAGCATCCCAGTCACTCACATATTTGCATAACATTTTAATTATTTTTTCCTAACCTAAAAGCCTGGATCATTAGCCAGGAACCAGACACAGAAAACTACTTGGAAAAAGCAGAATGCTACTTCTGAATTACCAGAAGGTGATGGCTGATCAATAGATTTACGTGTGCAGAAATGAAAGTAAGTTTCCTTTGAAAGCCCCTTCCACAACCACTTACCTGCAGCCACATGATGAGAGGTAGTTCTGTGAAGTTTTTGGTAGGGTTGTTTGCATAGTACAACCACCAGAACATGTGTGCATTATTTCTAACTTGGACATATCCCCACGCTTCTTTGGATTCTGATTGTTTTAAAATGGCACCTAAAAGAAAAAGAAAAAATATTCAGCTAAGCCATACAAAACATTTGGTATGGCTTTAACCAAGACGTATTACAATGTTAATTTTGGGTGCAGTAATTACAAAAAAAGATTTTGGCACTGAATAAAATATCTGGGGTCAGACTATATTCAAAACAATTTTGAGATCATTAGGTCTCCATGAATTAAATGAGGCATGCGCTTACCTGTTTGATCACATAACTGCGACCTATGCCTTGTCCCATTGCTGGATTAAATGTTTCTAGTGAGGACGTGCGGTTAGCACTTCTGAAAACCAGGCTGAAATCTCAGCTCTGCTGAAGGCAATGGCACAACCCCCATTCTATTCAGCAGGGCCAGGATTTCACTCAAAAGGCATAACAGTTTGGTCTCACTCCCTCTAACAGGACCAAATCATGTTGAGATCCCCAAATATGGCAATTTTAGGGTAGACGGGCTGTAAGAAAAGCCAACTGACAATGCACTAAGGACCGCGCCTGAAGCCCACTGAAACCAGTATAAGGACTGAATCACCCATGGTGTAGAAACAGATTCATTCCAAGGATCAGCTCCCTAATGTCATAGTGCCTTACCTTGAACACAGAAATAGGCACTGAGGAAGGCTCCCCAACTGAGAAACAGCATTAGAGAGACCATGGAGAACAGTACTTGGAAAAATACCACCTATTTTAGACTAAATAGAGATTTCTGGGGGAAGATATTTTTGTTGCAAGGAGCAGCAGTAACTGTGGCCTTGAACCAGTCTACATTCCACTGGCAGCGTTATCTACCCAGGACGTCTGGAAAACCTTGCAAGCAGAGGAAGGGTTACTTGGAGGCAGTCTGCAGCATGTTCTTTATACACATGTTGTCATAGTTTAGCTGCGTCGTCTTTAGCTCTCACGTGGCTCTCAGACATTTTTCAGGACACGGTACAGCATCAAGACTTTCCATTCCTTCTTACTGCCAAAAACGGATGTAGTTCAGTTCATCCCATGCCATGGTCACAAAAATAAAGCTACCCCCAACATCTGCATTACGCTGTCATTGGCAGACTTTTCAGACTGACATGCTCCTGCCTCAAAAATACAGTATCTTATGCTCAGTAGAAGGCAACTACAGAATCACCGCTTTCCAATCCAGGAGCAACCTCCAACACACACCAGTACCAGGTCAGTCAGCCCAGAACCCCTGATCCAGCAACCAGATCCATAACCTTCTCATGAAAACTGCAGGCAGGTGGGTGCAGGATCTACCTCGGGGACTTGATGTCAGTCTGCTGCACTCCAGGGGAACCTTATTGCTTAGGATCAAGGAGTTTGGGTCATGGATACTGAAACATCCAGGAGCAACAGAGCCCAGATCAGTAGATGGTGGCAGGGTGGAAATTTAACAAGCTAAAGCACCTCCCATAAAACTATTAACCTATTCTGAGGAATAAATGTGGTCCTAAACCCAAGTCATCTATTGGTTTTCAAGCAGAATTCTTTGCAATTAACCGTGCAGCTGCTTCAGATCAACCTTGGTGCATCTGGAAGGTGTATTTTAGCTAATTAGTTGGACTCCTCCCCTCCACTTCTGAAAGCAGAAGTGCAGCCTGAACCCTTCATTTGCACCAGCCTTCAGCTTATTCAGATGCCTCGGTGCTGGCCTGTCCCATGGCTTACAGTGACTCAGAGCAGCTGAAACAAGGCACTGCCATTTCACAGCTCGTGAGCCACCACCTCTGTGGCCCCACCGCAGACCGGGCTCAGACAGGTCACTAGTGTCACAACTCACAACAACCGTGAGACACTAAAGCTAAAGCCGCTTGTGCAAGGAGATGATAGCTGGCACGAGACAAACAACATCGCCCCGCCACTTATCTTTATCAACAGTCTCCGCAGCTCCACGAGGAGCTCACGAAGCTGAAATTGGTTCCTTGTTCCCAGTTCCTGGTTCCTTTTTCAAAGCTGATCTTCACACAATTAAAAGATGCCAGCAATGAATTAGACAAGCTGAAGAGCTCGAATTTCATCAAAAACGTATCTTTACTAATAAACACAGAAAATAATACCATGCAGCAAGTACCTAGAGCCCTGAAGAGAGAGCCGAGAGGAGGCTGGGATCATGGGGCAAAATCCTTTTTGGGTCCCCCCCAACCACACCTCTGCAGGGCCGGGGGACACTTCTGAGTCCGTCGGCGCAGGGCACGGCCTGGCCGCTAACCGCCCCCAGACCGGCGCGAAATAGCTTACCCCAAACTGAAAGAGCCGAGACCGGACCTGGGAACAAGGACCTGGGACACAGGAATACAGGCAACCCTCGACTTAAGACGTTTCGAGTTGCAACCAATGGCACTTACAACCTTTATAAACTGACGTGTAACATTAATAAATTATAAATGTATAAACTGACTCGTAACATTGTTCCTATGGGAAAATCGGTTCCGAGCAACGCCGTTTCGACTTAAGGAGCCTGTTGCGTCGTCACCCCGTACGGCGCGGCCCCGGCCCTGCGCATCCTGGACGGGCGCGCAACACCTTGCCTCAACTTGAAGGAGCCCAGACCGGGCCTGGGCACGAGGAGCTAGGATTGAAGGACCGGGAAGAGAGCTGCCAGCTCTAGGATGCACTGACACGACTGAGTCCTTAGGTCAGCAAGGAGTTGTGCATTTAAAAAACCAAACCAAACCCCACGGGACTCGTCTAGGAATCGGATTCAACATCTCATCTTTTTGCTGAATGCCCTAAAAACGACATTTGATGGTTGGGTATTGCAACGAATGCCCTCGCACTGGTCTGCAGGGTGGGTGAGGTGGGGGCGCCTACCTGAGCCCAGGGCGAACAGCAGCGGCAGCAGCAGCCTTGGCTCCATGGCGCTGGCGGGGAGGGGCGGGGCGAGCGCGTCCGGCGCGGTTTGTCCCTCGCGCCGCGCCGTCCCCACCCTTCCCCAAGATGGCGGCGCCCGTCGGGGCGGGCGCAGCGCGGCTGCGGTTGCACTTCGA